TTCAAAACATTTCACTACCCCTTCCAAGTTGTCGAGGCATAAGGTGTCTTTAAATTGTCTCGTGACGGAAGCACGCTAACAAGGATTGGCATGCTAAAAAGCCCAAACTGAGATCCAAGCTTAACCCCTCACCTGTCTGCTCCTTGAGACCCGAGGACTTGTAAAAAGTCTTTACATTCCGGTCTCTCAATAATAGCTCTTCTTTTCCTTTCCTCCTTTGGCCCTTCTGTTTCTTTTTCTTCCTTTTAAGAAGTCTGCTTGTTGGAACAAAGAAATATTTGAAGGCGCTGGTAACTAGCTGTGTGTGTTCGTGTGTATGTGCGTGCCTGTGAGTTGGACGCGGCCGTAGGGACGAATGCTTCAGTGCCCTCCTCTGTTATTAGGCCTGGCCTGTCATTATGGGATTAGTCTGTAGGGGTTGGTGTTTTTGCATGCATGTGTGTGTATGTTTGTGTGTATGTGCGTGTAAGGAGCTGTTTGCTTGTATATGATCTCCCCAAGCCTGTTTGTACAACTACGATTTTTCTCACACAGGCACCAGTCACAGCATGCTGAGAAAACAAATGTCTTTACCCCCCCACCCCTATTGTTAAAGTAATCCCAGGTGCATTTGACCTCTATTATAAATAACACTTTACTAAAGCAGTCCTTAGGTTTCACAAACAGTAAGTTGCTAATTGAATAGTCTTGGTAAGCAGTGGGTGGTTGAAAAGCACTCCCCAATACACTGCTTGTCACATCCATCAATGTGCTGATAGAAAACATGAGCAACGATGTGAGCGATTTGCAAAAAAATAGGAGCAAATTAAAGAGAAGTAGAATACAAGGAGTAGAAATCTCCACTTACCTCCTAGTCTCCGCAAAGACATTGGTTTGAGTGTGCTAAAGCAGATATGCTTTTGTTATAGAAAACGGTAATATATCGACTGGTAAACCTTACCAATTATGAAATACGCCTTAAAAAGGGGAAAAAAACGGGCAAAGAAAAAAATTAAAGCAGTTCCTTATCTGGATGCTAAAGCTATTCTCAGGGGATTTGTTTTTTTTCAAAGATAGAAAACCACTAATCTGACTTATTGTGTTCTTCAAACAACAAGCATAATTGTTGTTTTTTCTCAACCCACGATTGGGCTGAGAGTTTTCTTATCACTGTATTCATGTACAGTTCTGGTGACATAAGTCTTCCAGTCTGTTGAATCTCTTACATACATTGTTGGACACATCCATATAGTAAAAACTATGCCACACAGGCCTAATGGTTTAGTGAATGGCTGAGCAGAATATGTATTTGCCCCCTTTTAGTATTATAACATTTTTAGAATAAAAATGAACTAGATCATTTGACTAGTTTTGAGGGATATTTCCCACAACACCCTCATAACCTCTTTCATAAAGCAGTCCTGTCATGAACCTGCAAAAACAAGCCCCTCTCTGAGATGCCTTTGGCATTCATAAATCACAACACAGAGCTGGCTATATACCTCACACATGTGAGCTATCAAAACTCAAGCTAGGACAGCTGAAGAGGCTTGGAGTTTGACCCAGCAGAGTTCATTTATTGCACTATACATAAAATTAGTGTCAGAGATCACCAAATTTAAATGGGAAAAAAAGCTTGGCATGTAACAGCTTATTAGTTCAGTTCAGTTTCAAAGTATAACTGCTACAAAAGGAACAAGTAGAAGACTATTATTTATAGTCCAAGTCTAAGTCTGGTTGAGTTGTATATTAACAGAAATATATACATAGTGCACAGTGCCATCCGTTGCAGTCCAGATGGGATTTTCTCTTAAATCTCACAGACAGCTTGTTGCAGTCACCAAGTGAGGTAGTCACTACTGTTAACACTTGTGGGTTGACTCCAAAGCCCTCAATGCATTATTGTGAAAAATCCACTAAGACTGTGAAAGGTGGTGAAATTCTAGATTTAAAAGGGCCTGTTTACTCTTGTCCCTTGTTTAGTTTCTATTGGCAGGTTTACATGTCCATTCATTTGATTCACTGCCTTTGCGCCATTGCTCAGAATCAGACTAACAATCATTCCTGAAATCCAATCATGAACATTAAACCAGAGAAATGATTTTCTTGTTTTGAAGAAGTTATTTTTCTTATTTGTTTCACCAAACTTTTTTTTCTCCTCCAAGTTGCCCTTCTGGTTCTTTTTCAGTCTATTTCTTTCTTCTTGTCCAGGCCCACTGGGCAACTTTCCACTGCTTTTTTTGAGCTTCTTGAGTATTATGTACATGGAAATACACTGTGTTTCATTAATCTTTCTTTGATTCGCGTTGCTGTATCATCTATATAGAATATTTCTTTCAGTTATGCACTCAAAACTCTTTTGTTCATGAGCTTTTAGTATTTTATTTTTTCTTTTCGCAATGTTCTGAATAACCTGCTTTTTGCAGATGTATAAATACACATATATTGTCGAATATTCTATAAGGAACCAACAAGCTTAATGTGTGCAGCCTACTAAATAGACTAGAAATGCACTTGTGTTTGTACAGAGAGGGGTGGGTCGTGAGGGTCAGCCAGGTTAGATGGGGGTCATCCTGTGCTTACACTTTGGCCCATTGACTCAGGATTGATGCTCCACTTTGACCACAATGCAGGGCTTTGCTCCCAATAGACACACACATAATTGCCCTCTGACACAGACACACAAAAAAGCATCCATCCATGCACACTCAGTCCCAGTATGGTGAAACAATACCCATGCACTAAAAAAGGAGGGGTTATAGAAAACACCTGCAATCCCGAATGATCTACTGCCCAGACCACAGGTCAGGGCAGTTTATGTGTTTGCTTTGCATATCTGCCTTGCTGCCACTCAGGTCTTGTTCTTTCATTCTCATCCACAGCATTGAAACCCAGTCAGCCAATGTGTTTCCCTGTGTTGTCATTTTTTTTCTGCAAAGTCAGCTCCAACACCATCCAGTGTTGCATACATATGCCCTCATTGTAACTATAAAGACCAGATAAAAGGAGTATATCATTTTCACCACACCAGCTTGTCTACCTGTTTATCCTTCAGTAATAACCACCAAATCACAGCGTGTCACAATATGACTCAGGGGAAGTTTTGCTGGTATATATGCTGACACTTTCTGAAAGACAGACACAGGTAAACTGTAATTTAGACAAGAGGGCCACAGGAGATGCATTTTATCATGTGATTTAATTGGTTGACTATTGCTATTGACTAATTTTAAGAGCAGGTTTCTAGTTTAATCCCATCTTGCTCCTTGTATATGTTAAATTGCCCTCGGACAAGACACTTAAATGCCTCCCATAATTTGTGTGTCATATGAATGTGTGTGCTTTTGTTGTTAGATTGGGTCAACTTGGCTTTAGAAGTTGGTATGACTAGAAAAACATCATATAAATTCAGTCCAAATACCATTTAAAGAGCTTTTTTCACTCCTTCAAACATTTCTTTGACTGACAACGTTTACTGCCTGGACTGGTTCACAGGGAAGCCCACGATCCATTTTCCTTAAGGGCAACAAGTCAGTATCATAAGAGATTGATGTCAAGGATGTGTAACTTTAGCTGGAACATTCTTCAACATAAGGAAAAGTTTTTCATCAGTGTAAGATGCATATCAGAAAGGCTGTCATGATATATGTCTTCTAAAAGTTCAAAAGAAAAAATGTATTTGCTTTAATACGTTTGTCCTTCCTGTATGATCACCTCTCTCTTCTGATAATGTGGTTTCTAAAAATTTAACATTTTTGAAAACCTCACTGGTTGTAAAAATAGGCTTGTGTTTTTTCCCATAGTATCAACTTCCACACAAAAGATTGTTTCTATCAAGACTGGTGAGCTATTTATAAAAAAACAAATCCTGTCTATGTGCGCCTGACTCATCAGTTACTTGTAAACTCGTCCTGTTCTGTTTACCTGGCATCTCAGTCATAAAAACGGTATATGTTAATTCCCCTTTATCTTACCAAGTGAAATACAATTTTAAAGAAAAAAATAGATCAAGAAAGATAGCTGCTGAAGTAACTTTATTCAGGATTTTCCTTTAAACATCATAAGTGAAATGAAGCTTACACTTCCTTTAATGAACAGATACAGCACAATCTCCCTTTTTTCCATAGTGTTTCATCATCTTTTACCATCATGTAGAACAGCATGGTGGTTGAGATAATAACTGTGGCTGCACACTGCGCCTAGAGCGTCAGGTAGTAAAAGATTCTACATTTATTGTCTCCCTTCCCTTCTCTAACAAAGCTAGAATCCAGTTGCCAGTAAAAATTAAAGTCCAAGGTCGGCTGGAAAAGAAGGGATTTGCAGGAGAGGTCCACCCTTTTACGTTCATTCCTTTTTGTTTGTTTCTTAATGTGCCAAGTAACAGACATAAAAACATTACCTTAACCTTAAGTGTGGCAGTCCTTTAATTACTGACATAAAGTGAAATTCGGTTGAAGATTTCTGACCTCTGTTTTCCCCACAATCTCCTTCTTTGTGGCTCCTTACTTTATTACCGCTCCATTCAAGCCTTCTGTTGGGTTATATATCTTGCAGAGTTTTACAGCATGCTACTCACTGTATGTGTGAGTGTGTTTCTGTGTCAGCGCCCTGTGGGAAGCAAAAACAACTTCTCTTTGAATTTTGCCGCACTGTTTAAAACAACCGCCTAATTGAGACTAATTAGCCATATGAGAAACCACAATAAAAATTTACACAACACTGGGCTGATCAGACACTTTCTGTCCCTCTCTTCTTTTGTGGCACATATGCATACATACACACACTTCCAAACCACCACACATAGTACTGTTTTTTGTTTCATTGGACTAAATGTCACTCAGGATCTTTCCAACTGTTCAGTTATATTCAGTTATCTAAGAACGGCCCTGTTCAAAGCCTCTTATCTGTTGGTTCTGACTCTTACAATTTTTATGGCATTGTAAAACCATTGAAAGTTCTATTGATCTTCTCTTTTCCTCTTTGTCTGACCTAAATGCTTTCTTTCTGCCTCCAATTAACAGAGACGCTGATGGACACGAAGTGGGCCACTACAGAGTTAGCTTGGACAGCACATCCTGAGAGTGGGGTGAGTTTGGATAATTAATTCACTACCCAAAAGGGAAGTAGGAGGGTGGTGGGGGATGGTGGTCTATATAATAAGGCACATAAGATATATGTAGTTAAAAGGAATATGCATGTCGTAAAAAAAAAACTCTTTTTCTCCCTGCATTTTTTATGCTATTTATGGTCTTTTTAACCTAAAAGAAATTCATGATATTTAGAAAACCACAGGTGTGTGTCTCATAAAAAACAATCTGTGTCTATATATATTCTGTTTAACATGAGCTGACATTTCTTGATGTAGTAGCAGGATGTTGATCAGCGTAGAGGCCACCTACATTATAAATATAAGTGAAAAGACTGCTTATAAGTAATATAAGCTGTCTTTTCAAAGTATATTAAGCTTAATTTCAGTATTTCAGTAAAGTATTTTTGAGATCAGATTTTTGTGAAATAAAGAGGACATCCAGTTAACAGGACTCACAGGCTGCAAAATGCTAAGGTCTACAATCCCAACTGAAAATCACTCATAGAGATATCTTGATATTCATCAGGATATACTTTATAGCAAGGGTATTCAACTGCATTCCTTGAAGACCACTGCCATGCAACTTCATAATGTACCTTTCCTTTTAAGACAGCTGATTCTGATGATTGCATTTCAGCAAAAGCCTGTTAATTAGCCATTGTTTGAAATTATAGTTTCCCACCCAAATTGATATCAAATATAAGATGTTACTGATGGTTTTACATGCTTTCCCGTGTGGATTTTACAATGGGTTTAAAAGGAGCAGAAAGAATATTGACCCTTTCTCAACTTTATTTCAAAGTTTGCTAACACTCCTCCTCCTACTTTTTTGTAATCATTTGACCTGGGGGTTATGTTTTCAAAGTTGGGCCCCCTTTTTAAATATTTTTAACTGTTACCCCAACATAGTTGCTGTGAGATCCTTTTTAAACTGTTCAAAGCCACCCACAATCCTTATTCCCCCCCTTTGTCTCTCTGCTTCCTATCAGTTGACGAAGCCAGACACATTAGCCACCTCAGCTGTAAACAATCAGGGGCCAAACCCCCTCTTGGCCTGTCATGACCTTTCCCTGCTTCCCCTTTTTACCCACTCATACATCCATCTTTCTGTGCCTCTTAAGCTACAATGCAAATGGGATCCTTCCACCACTTTCAGGCAGACTTTATATAGGGAGCCCCGTCGTTTTCAGCATAATTGCATCAGTTACTTCTTGTCAAGGAAAAACACACAGAGTCAAGCATTTGTACCCCATATACCCCATATGTTAAACCAGAATAAATGATAACATTTTTCCTATTACATTTTCTTGAATTGTTTGCATTGGATCAGACAGGATTATTTCTATCCTTCAATCTTTTCTTCTTTTATAGAATTTCTTAAATCAGTCATCAGCTCTATTTTCATTCTTACTGTCCATTTGTATTTGTGTAAATATATATTTTTTTACATTTGATTTTTTTTTTGATTGCTTTTTGCATTCTTGCAAGGCAAAACTATTTTTTTCCTTTTACATATAATATGAAGCGGTACATTAACAGAGTCGACAAAAATGGCCAAAGGAGAATTTTGAGCAGCAAGACAGGTGTAGACTTAATTAAAAATAAATAAATAAATAAATAAATAAATGTTTCCATTGCAAGAAACTTGAAAGGAAGAACTTCAGATTCATAAAATACAAATTTTTAAGCTCAGATATTAGAATTAAAAGACAAATTTTTAACATCTCTTGAGTTGTTGTAAGTAATACATAAATAAACCCAAAAGAAAAATACAGAAGTTTCATGCCTCATCTTCACAAATTTCATTACAGGAACATGTTGTGCATGCTTCTTATCAAATTTTTTTTACGTCTGTGTCCTTTTTTGGTATGTGCATTCGCTAGTCATCTCATCTGTTTATCACTTTTTGATAAACCTCACTGTGTTTGTATTTTTCCTTACAGTCATTTTGTTTCTGTTTTCAATCCAGTTTATTGTATATTTTGCACCAATTCACAACACATATAATCGTAATGCACTTTACAAACCTATTTAAATGAAATCATACAGACAGTTTTGTTAAATTACTAATCTGACCCAGCAGACTTCATCCAGTCATTGACTTTGAAAAATCCCCCTTCTTGTTTGGGGGTGACAGTGGACAGTTGCTTTTATTGTGTAGATGGCTTTGCTGCAGTCCCTCATACCAAGTATGCATGTCGCAACAGTGAAGAAGAAAACTCCCCTTTATCAAAAAAAAAATCTCCAAGAGAGGCAGACAGTTATTTTGCATTGTGTGTTGGTTTGGCCAAAGCTCAGAATGTAAGTCTCCAAACTAGCTGGAATGTGGGCCACTCCTTTGAAAATATTTAATGTACTACTAAGTTAAATGAATGGGTCCACTCAGGTCTACATTTTTATAAGGGTTGTGGTCTTATTTACAATGAATTAGAATGAAAGCAAAACATTTGGTTTTATGGTTTTTAATTCAAATTACCCTTGAAGGCTACACATATCATTCTAGATGCTACTGAGCATCCCCTACTCAGACCTTAAATATCCCTGCTTTAAACCATTCAAATAATGAAAGATAATGTTGCCTATTTAAAAAAGAAAAACAATAAAAAAAAACGGGTTAAAGGCAAAACAAAAAAAGGAACAAAACCAACAAAAGCAATAAAACCGTCCCGAAAACCGCAAAAAGGAATTCTGCCTTTTAAAAGACAGCAAATAAATTAATAAGAGAAAAGCCTACGTTCATTATTCCACTATTACATAAGTAAAAGTTAGTTGTTATTTATTTATTGTCACCTGATAAATATAAAGAAAGAGCCAATTTAGACCAATAATAAAGCATCTTTAAACAATAAAAACCTAAATGCATTAAACTGTGCAGTCTTGCAGAACTCTGTCATTATCTGTTCGCCACACTAAGCCCTTAAAACCAAAACAACCATAAATCCCTTCACTCCTCTCTGCTTGTAATAAATGATTATCAATTATAAATATATAACTGCTTTCTTCACAGAGCACATTCAGGGTGTATATTTGCTTTCTGTGAAAATGTACATAAATCCTATGAAAACGGTTTTAATAGAAAAAATGTCATAATACAGATTTGCATCATTATGGAAGCCGATATAAAAACATTAATACTTGATCAAAAAGATACATTTGAAGGTAAGACTCGGGCATTAACAAGACAGTTTTTAATATATTGGACTAACGCAAAACCCCAAATCATAAGGATTTTATTGCTTTTGAATTTCTTAAGACAGTAAATTATAACATTAATCTTTTATTTTTCACTGCAGATTAGTCTAATCTTGCACACCTTAAATACCATTTGCTCTATATCGTTTCCTTTGTGGACGAATTGAGTTGTTGCCAGGATATGTTTGAGAAGTTATATTAACCTGCAGAATCTCTATTACAACTATAAACTGTAGAGAAGATGGATATCAGCCAGGAGTTATTAGATAAGATAGAGTAAGCAAATACAGCATAAGCTTAGCTGTACCAAAAGTTTTATACATTAAAATTACATTAAGTTACTATTGAAAATACTTGAAAAGATATTTGTGAAGCTAGTACTTTCATACTTAATTAAAAAAATAAATTTAAGCAATAAAAAAAAAGAAAAAAGAAAAGATCAGCAACCATCCATTTTCAGTTACCTTCATATGGTTATGCTTATAATATGCTTATAAGGTAATACTCATAGAAGTTTCCTCTCATTACAGTCACTTTAACATGCAGGCTTAGGGACACCAAACAATTGTTAAACTCACTTTTCTGAACGATGCAAAATACTTTTTCAATGAGTACCGTCAGTTATATGTTCAACAATTTTGTATTAATATTATCAGTGCGTCTTTGCCAAAATGTTGCAAAACATAATTTCCCAGCTGCATCATGGACCTGCAAGAATTGGCATGCTGCATAAGTATTGTTCATTGTAATGTGAAAGTAAACTTAAAGCCTTGATTGCAAAGGACAGAAAGGCCATATCTGGATTGCCAATTTATCTTGCTGAGAATCAATGCCATAAAATGTTGGCCTTTTCACAGAACCTAATTTATTTAGGCTTGGGAAGTGGGTACTTAGAGCTTTTGTCCACTGGTGCATATCATGGTAGGGGTGTGGTGATTGGGGACCTCTATCTAAATGATCACATCCAGTTTCATACATCAAGACAGAACAAGCTCAGGCAGAAAGTTTCATTTTAGCACATTAAACAAACACACCCAATTTTTTTGTATGTACCTGCTAACACTTGGCTGTATTGCTCTTTTGTAGAGGGTGATTTATTACTCTGAACTAAATACCCATTGACACTTCATGCTGTTAGCCATCCCATTGACCCAGCTGGTGATTATTGATTCCCTCTGGTCGCTTCTTCCTTCTTGAGCCATCGTTTTAATGCCACTACCCAACTACACCCATTCTCCCCCTCACTGACTCTTGGCCACCAGAGTCCAGGATGAATAACCCTGTCTCCACCACATCTATATCGCACCTCTAATTAAGACACTCAGATCTCAAACAGAAACATTAGGCTCTGAGCAACAAAATAGTCTCTGTTTACAAGTTTGAAGTTGTTTAAAGGTATAGACGATCTTTTATTTCCGGGTGGATCATCTAAATAAATGGTCCTACTAATAATCAATCATTCTTGCAATATGTTTACATGAGGCCATTCTACGTGCTCATCATGTTACCTATCTTTTAATGCGCATGGGCACTATCAGGCGTATATTTGTTGTGAGCTACAGTTTCAGACAGTCATTGAAGCTCATCATTCTCATCGCGGTTCTTTGAAAATGGCCGAGGGTCGTAAGAGAAAAAGTGTCTACGAAGTGTATGAGAAGAAAAGAAAGGCCTTAGAAGAGGCAGATATATCCCAGAATGCTTTGCGCAGAGAGCTCTCCTCGCAAAGCATTATGGGATTTGCTGTCACAGCGGTCCGCTGTCACCATAGGCTGTTGCTACGTGACAGCGGCGACTAATAACAAAGATAGCGAAGGCACTGCACGGTGAAGGAGTTACGTGACCAACAAAGCAAAAAGCAGTGATCATCTCTGTCCGAATAGTCAGTTAACTGAGGTTGCTATAAACTCCACTATATATGCCCTGCTGTAACTGGCCACAGTAAGGTTGTATGAGCTGTTAGAACAGCACATTTTAAATGGGGCTTGCAAAAGGAGAAATGGGCTCATGCAGGCGCTTTCACGCGCATTTTTTTTCTAAGTGGAGAGGGTGGGTATTTTAAAAATCCTCCACAACACCTTTAAGTACAGGGAAACACAAGTGTTGCGGTGAACAGTTAAACTTTGGAAAATATTACTGCAGATATAAAAGCCAATTGGATAAATTTAAGACTAGGCTTATACAGAGGTGAGGGTGGGTTAAGAATATTAAGACTATTATTTGGGTAATAGACAGATCGAGGGCAGCATTGTCCTAAGCAGTCAAACACATAAAGACAAGCAGATTGATTATCTGCACAAGAATTGATGTTTGAAGTAAAACCACTCACCTGTGTTGGCTTCCTCCAATATTGGAAAAATAAATCAGAATTTGTAAATTTTACAGTTGATTATCATAGTGTTTGCTTTCAGAAATTCGCTACAGTCATTAATTAAGCTTAAAAATTTAATTTAATTTATCTTGTGTATTACCTCTCATGGGTACCCAAGTAGTACTAAAAGTTGCAAAGGTTGGTCAAACAAAAAAAAAAAAAAACATGAAGGTTAAGTAATGACTTTTTCAATTGGTATTAGAGGACGTTTCAGTCATTGCTCCATAATAGAAGCCTAATAGATTGTGAAACAATGTGCCTGCTACTTCCAAACAGATATGAGGTAAACATGCTACCGTGCTTCGGTGGCAAGGAGGTGACAGGTTGGTGTAATTGTGATAAATTTGCCATTCTTGTCCCTGGCTTTTTACCACTCTAAACAGAAATGAAACACATTATGATGAAAATAAGTGATGGAAAATGAAAACATGACCAAAATATCCCTGCTACAAGCTCTGTTTTATATTTTTCTTTCTATGCAATATCAATTAGTGTACCTCGTAAAAGTTGAATGAAAATAATGTTTAAATGGTGTCACAAATCACATTAATTAAAAGCCCGACATATCAAGAAATATATACAGCTTCCCAATTAATTGTTAATGTCTCTTTTCTGCTCTTTTATTCAGTGGGAAGAGGTGAGTGGCTATGACGATGCTATGAATCCCATCCGGACGTATCAAGTCTGCAATGTACAACAGGTCAACCAGAATAACTGGCTACGTAGTGACTTCATCCCACGAAAAGATGTACTACGTGTATATGTAGAGATGAAATTCACAGTTCGTGACTGCAACAGCATTCCTAATATACCAGGTTCCTGCAAAGAAACCTTCAACCTTTTCTATTATGAGTCTGACTCAGACTCAGCCACTGCCACCAGCCCTTTCTGGATGGAGAACCCTTACGTGAAAGTGGACACTATTGCCCCGGATGAGAGCTTCTCAATGCTTGAGACTGGACGAGTAAACACAAAAGTCAGAAGTTTCGGGCCACTATCCAAAGCAGGTTTTTATCTGGCCTTCCAGGACCTTGGCGCTTGCATGTCCCTCATCTCAGTAAGGGTATTTTACAAAAAGTGCTCCACAACAATCGCCAACTTCGCAGTTTTCCCAGAAACAGCTACAGGAGCTGAGGCGACCTCCTTGGTTATTGCTCCAGGAACTTGTGTTCCAAATGCTTTGGAGGTGTCAGTGCCGTTGAAACTCTACTGCAACGGAGATGGAGAGTGGATGGTGCCTGTTGGAGCATGCACATGTGCAGCTGGTTTTGAACCAGCCATGAAGGAAACCCAGTGTCAAGGTAAGTGTTTTCACTTCAGAGACATTGTGTTAGTCAAGGATTAAGTTATCCACTATTAGTGGAAATGGATTACATTCTTTCTTTGTTTTATGCCAATTATAAAGATTCATTTTCTTCATCGTTGTAGACATGGTTCAAGTTTCTTTAAAGTCAGGGATTTTTTTACCCTTTGAAGTGGTCTTACTGTTTTAAATTTTAAATGCCATCTAGTCAAAGTTCTGGGTAGGACATTATTTTTAAATGAGCATCCCATTTGTAGACGGATATTTTAGTAAGTATTTGTTTCACATAAGGATTATTTTTTTGAATAAATAAAGTTACCTTTCTGCAATTCTGCTATAAGTCTACCATCTGTTGGCATAACTGCATATGAGCAAGTGACTAAAAAAGCCAGAAAAGAAAATTAAGAAGACTAGCTCTATTTTTCGGGCTTCTCCTCTCCTTTTACATCTACTTGATTTGCCTCTTTATTCTAAACAGTTTTGTTTGTTTTGATTTGCCGTTGAGCAACATCTCAATGTGGTCGTATAGTAAAGAGTAAGGACACTAAATATAAAGTAATATGATGTGATTTGTAATGTAAAAAAAAAAACATCTGCCATACACAATGCCTTTTTTTATGACTCAGAGTGAAACAGGGGAGCCATAAAAGCCTCAGTGTGGCAATTTGAAGTACTCAGGATAAGTACAGATTTGCCAGGGAAAGTAAAGGGTAGGTTAACACTGACTAAGGTCACCTTACTATAGCGATCATGCACACAACTAAAACAATAAAAACTGGCATAAAAAGTCTTTCTGATATTTTAAAGTGTAAAGATATTTTGTTATTTTCAATTGAATACTGTAACAAGTGATGCCGTCCCCTGCAAAAAATCAGTAACCAACAATCCTTTGACATCATGTTTTCAGCCAAATTGGCACGGTTGGATTTGGATCAAATAACCTTTATTAATTTAAAAAGCCCTAATAGCAAGTAATGCTCAGTAGGGACTAGTGGAAAATGGGCAAATGAGAATAAGTCAAGCATTGTCACAGGAGGGTCATCGTGTTGGGCTGCATTGGTGCACCCCACTGAGGAGTTCATTGAAGGAACCATGAAGCAACAGAAAACTGGGCTGCTGGGTGGTATTCCAACATGATAACAATCTCTAACACACCTCAGAAATGAACATGCTTTGCTAAAGAAACAAAGGGTAAAGGTGCTGGACTGATGAAGCATGTCTCCAGATCTAAACCCCATTGAGCATCTGTGGGGCATTCTGAAACAGAAGGTGGAGGTGCACAAGGTCATTTACATTCTCCAGCTCCATGGATATGAAAGCTCCTATGATATGAGTAACACTTACATGTCATTTTGTTTTTTGATTGATAAATGACTTTTGAATTGAATTTAATGTTGTTGGTGAGAAGCTAAAGAGAATCCCAGGGGCAGCTGACAAAGTTCTTGTGACCTCCTTGTCAAAGAGATTTAAGGCAGTGCTAGAAAATAATGGTGGCTAAGCAAAATAGAGACAATGTTAGGCCCAATTTGACATTTTAAATTTTGGGGGTACTAAATATGGCTTATAGACATCAATGGCTGTGTGTCGATGTTTGTTGAGAGGTCAGCAAATCAAAACTAAGCAGCAATGAAACACATCACATTGTCAGCTGGAGGCTTTTCACTTCTCTGACCTCTGGTTTGCTTTGCAGCTGGGCGCTGACAAAATGGTAATGCAGCTGATGCTGTCTGTTTGTGGAGGCTGAGATGCTTAGGGTTTCTGGTTGAGTGGAGAACATGACATGTTCAAAAAGAGGTTGAGGTAGAGGTGAACTTTAACAACATGGTCTCGTCTGAGAGCAGGTGACAGCAGGAGAAGAATGAAGGATAAATGGAAACTGTTTGTGTGTAGTGATGGCCATGGGGCGTAACATTGGGCTGAGAGTGTGTAGGTCAAATGGACAGAGCAGGAAAATCGTGAATAAGAGGGCCAAAGGTAGGCAGCGTTATGCCTACTAAGGCTGATTGCACAATGTGACTTAACACTTATTAAAGCTATCAACTTTTTACCGTGCATCTTACCTTGTAAGCTTTTCTGTCCTTGCTCCAACATATGGTGAATCCTTCTCCCTTTGCACGTACCTACCTCACCCATTCCCTCCTAATTTGAAGGCCGTTGCTCTCATTAATAAGCCACCAGAGATACAGTTGAGATGTCAGCATTAATATTAATCGATGAACCTTTTTTTGCAGCACATTTTTCATCCCCCAATATTCTTCACTTTCTTCATGCCTCGCACTTTCCAATTTCAGCATACATGCTAATCAGTTCTTTAAGCTCTATGTTCTGCATGAGAGGATAAGACACAGGGGATTGCAAAAAGGCTGTGTGTGTGAGGGTGTGTGTGGTGGAGGTGGTGGTGGTGGGGGGGTGTTAAAGGATTAGCATTTTTATGCCTCCAACCCCCTCCTTTTTCTGTACTTCTTGTCTGTCTCTCTGCTTCATTTTTTAATGGTTCCTCTAAGGGAAAATGGATGAAAGGAAGAGGATGACCCCTTAACTCACTGGAAGTGATTGATCAGCACTTTTAACCTTTTTCATGACACGGAAAAAAATCACCTTTTTAAATGGAAATGCACTATGGTCAGGCCAACTGTATTCAAGAACTACTATTTTATCCAATGATAGTTAAGATATTTTTTCATGGTTAACTTTTTGCCAGCTGAACATACATGAGCTTACAGAGGTCATGATATTAATCGAAGAGGTTGTTCTACAACCTGTTGTAACTAGAGAGCTTTTTTTTTTTTTTGTTTATCAAGCAGTATTTCCTGGTAGCCTGCAATGTGGATGACTCTGATTAATGCTGGAAGAACAAATACACTTAGTGCTAGTGTACACAGAGCAGCCAACTGGTGGTTAGAGCTTATACTGAAGCTTTATCAGCATGAGAACAACAGGAGCAGTCTGCTAACCGTGGTAGTCCATGGTTCACATGAAGTCCAGGCTTTCCTTTCTTTATGTTCACTAAAGAAGCTAAACGCTAATTATCGTCCAGAAGGACAAACGTTGAGGCCTGTCCTTGACCAATAAGCACACATGGTGGGTCAGCTAATGAACGGGCGTTAGTAAACTTTGTCTACTTTACCTGCCTCTGTCTGTTTTGATTGCACATGGTGGCAAGCTCATTTATCTATTGAACAGTCAGTCTTACAAAGATATCGAGACTCCCATAGGTTCTGGATTGCAGTGCTGCTGCTCTCATGGTTATTATTCATGTCTATTACTTATCAGCAACATTGTAAACGTTCAAACAGAAGCTTTTTTTCCAGGTAATTACTTAGACTATCTAATTGATTAAGTCCAGGCTTATATAAAGTTGCTGTCAAGGATTTGTTTAGCCAGTTTGGCACATCCCACAAGTGCTTTGTGAGATTGAAGATTGGGGAATCTGAAGCCCAAGTTAATACCTGATGCTACTTTTTCTTAAACCAATACTTGATGCTTTGTCAATTTGTAGAATGTATTGGATCCTTTTTGATAAGCAATGACAGTTGCAGGCAAACAAAACCCAAAAAGACCTGAGTTTTGGAGATGCTCTGAAGGAAACTCTCTACTTGGCACAATTTTACAGAGATCTGGACTTGGATGTTATAACTTGGATTCAGACTTGAGTCATGAATTGAATTACTTTAGACTCGACTTGCAAAGCCACAAATAGACTTAGGACTTAAGTGGAGTATTTATGCATATTTCTTATAAGTTCACTATTTTAGATCTTAAACTATGTAGCAAACCGGGTACAATATCACGCCTGGCCATTTGCTTTTTTTTTTCCTTTTGAGGGCTTTATCTAATTCGCTCTTTTTTTTTTACCTGGTTGTAGTCAATGAGAATTGTGGTAAAGTCATTTCCTGTTATTCAGTTATATTGAGGGGATATCCACAAGGTTTGAAGAAAACAGAGCAGCGCTCACTTAAAAAAAAAACACTGCTTAGGATACTCTGCAGCAAGACTCTGCACAGTGAGAACAGTTAGCAAGATTTTACCAATCCTTGAAATGCAATCCTGGGGAATGTAGAACCGCTAAGAATTTCCTTGACTTTAAGTGTTGGATCTCAGAGCTTCCATACAGTAAGTGTGTGGCCATTGTGTTGGGTGATGGGTCGTGCCCAAAATAATGCTCTAAGAAGACAGAGGGCCATTTGAGGGTCTTACAATGGAAGTGTTTTTTTTTTCAAATGCAAAAGATGTTCTGTGTTTTTCAGAGATTCGCTCATACATTTCAAGAATTAGTTACAGCAAATACAATAAGTATAAAGAGTATGAGTACAAGTATGTAAAGCAGTTTAAGTTAGTTGTGTTAATTTATTGACTGTTTAAAGTAACCACAGATCTAATGAAAGAGAGAAAAGGAAATTATATATTAATACATTTGATTTTATAAAAGATTTGAGTTGCACACCACTGTGAGGATTCAACATCATCTAACTTTATTTGAACATTTAAACATATAAAAGCAACAGAATGAAACTTTGTGTATTGTTATGCACTCTTCTCATCTTATCGATGTTCTTATCTGTTACTGTCAGCTTGCAGTCCCGGATCCTTCAAGTCCAAACAAGGGGATGGCCCCTGTTTTCCCTGCCCAGCCAATAGTCGAGCCACCTCTGGAGCTGCCAGCATTTGTTCCTGTCGAAACGGTTATTATCGCTCTGACACAGATACTCCAGACTCCCCATGCACCAGTGAGTAAAGCCTTCTTTCAATATTACAGATACAGAAGAAGGTTCTGATTAGGGCTAAAAAAATTAATCTGATTAATTGTTATTAATTGATAATTGAAATCATCAACTAAGTTTCAACAGCAGTAGTTATGCCAACACTTGTAAAAAAAAAAAAAACATGTCTATAAATACATTTTTCAATTAAGATGAAAAAAAAGTATTGTCTGTGAATATTTTCTGTCCAGATCTACTCAAGATTTAGACTCACCTGGTTTGAATTCTGTTCAAAAATCTTTAAAGCACCTTTGGCTAGCTGAAAATTGATTCATTAATCGAAGAAACAAATGACAGAAATATCAATTAGCAAAATAATTGTTGATTGCAACCCTAGTTCTGATCATGCAACAAATTTCCAGCATGTATAAATATTTACCCAGGTTTTCATTTTGAATTGTGCTTTCAGTGGCTCATAAAAGCGCAGAGAACAACATTCCTACTATTTTCCGAAAATACTTAACGAGGCTGCTTACTTAGCCAACATTATCAGAACTTTATCATCTTAGCACTACCCCTCCCAACTGCTTAAAATTTCAGGGTTATCTGTGTTGCTGGCCCTTGACATACACAAAGTAGAGCATTTTTCCCGTAGCTGTCTCTTCATTAAACACATATATGCAAATTTAGGATGAAATTCATTGAAATAGTAAAGAGAGAAGATGCTTTTTTTCCCACTGCTGAGAGGCGGGGGTCTGATTCTCCCACAGTGCAGTGTGAGATAACGCTCCATTAATTGGATAAGAATTGCCAAGGCTCTGCGAATAGTTTGTGTTACCCTTTCCCTGCAGCACTTTACACACACAGACACACATTGCCACAGTGGAAATAAGCATGCAATTCAGATTTTAACTCGTGTTCTTTTATTCTGGAGAACTGCTAGAACAGTCTCTTGAAAGTTGGAATAGAAAAAAAAACAAAAGTCTAGTTAATGCATGAAAAATGTACTTGTACAGCACCAGGGAAATGAATAAGTCTTAAATTGTGAGGAGAGCAGAATGCATTATTGAATGTATATGCATATAGTGAAATATGTATTATGTACCATATTATATCACTATCTGTTGTTGTGATTTTACTGTACAATCACCAAGAAAGTATTTTGCCACCTATTGTGCATGTAGATTCAATTCGATCTCATTCCCAACAAATTTTTCCTCATCTCATACATGCCTTTTTTTCTCGCTTTCATAGCTGTTCCATCAGCTCCACGCAGTGTCATCTCAAGTGTTAATGAAACATCGCTCCTGCTAGAATGGAGCGAACCTCGGGACATGGGCAGCCGTGAGGATATCTTTTACAACGTCATCTGTAAAAAGTGCCTTCCTGAGCGAGGAATGTGCTCACGATGCGATGACAACGTAGACATTTCGCCACGTCACCTGGGTCTGACGCAACGCCGTGTGACCGTACGCAACCTCCAAGCCCACACACAGTACAGCTTTGAGATCCAGGCGGTAAACGGCGTGTCCAACAAGAGCCCTTATGCCCCTCAGTTTACTGCTGTGAACATCACTACGAATCAGGCTGGTGGGTACATAAGCAATGTTGGCAGGGATCAACATTGATCTTGAAGAAATTGAAGTTTTTTTAAAGTTATACATGCCTTTAATGGGATACATTTATACATGCATGACTGTGTTAAATATTTGTTAAGATTAAAAAAAAGATTGAGCACCAAAAGTTACCGCTCAGCAGTGTGTGTGTGTATATATATATATATATATATATATATATATATATGAAACATTTCTGAAGAAAAACTTCATAAAACTTCTTGTAATTTAAATCACCTCAATAAAATTTAAAGATCCAGAGTTCACTCACTACCTCTTAAAAGCAGTTTCTTTAATGAGACTTTCCCCGAGCCTTTAAGCTTTGCCTTTGGTTGCGTTTAGCTGCTATGTTAAATTTGCTCTGGCTAGGCTCAGTCAACAAGACAGATTATGCATTGCTCTGGTCCTTTTTCTTCCATCCATGACCATGTTCTCCTCACCTCTAACCTTGTGTTCACACCCCTAAAAGAGGCTTTCGGAATGCCTTTGTTAGTGTAGGATTCGAAGGTCTCCCAGACCCCCATGTGAGAGAACTCATTGTTTTATAAGGGGATCTGGCAGTGGGACGACAGAAGTGACTGTCCATGCATAGTGCATAAGGTGCAGAGAGAGAGCGGTGGAAGAAAAGAACAGGGCAAGAGAGCATCATCTTTGATAAGATTATCCATTTGTGGAGTCCCAAGACTGTCCGGGCATGTGCATCCCCCTTTTAAGAACCAAAATAAATACGAAGGGTGGTGATAAGCCTCGGGGGCCACCTCCATGGTTACTGCAACATGCTCCCCCAGCGGAGGGCCTCTAATCCTTCCACCAAAGAAGCCAGAGGCCTTTTCTAGGAAGTATTGTGTTCTGCTTGAGAAAGAGAGACATAAAGAGAAGAAAAAAATGGGTTGGGCAGAGAGGAAGAGACTTGCAAAACTAGTATTTTGAGGGATGAAAAATAGAGATAATCAGAAGATTGCCTTGGTCGAAAAACAAGAGGGTAAAATAAAAACACAGGGTATGGGAAGGGTGAACTTGATTCATCTAAGGTGTTAACAAACACAGTGGGAATGATTGTGTGCTCAAAGGAAAAAGGCCTCGGGTTTATTTTGGAGGAAAGGTGCCACTAGAGATCAATAGTGGAAGCTTAGAAACAAAGGCGGTAGACAGAGATAGCAGAGTTAGAGCTAAAGAAAAAGGCTGAACTGAGAAAGAAGGAAGCAAGTCCAGGACCCAAATGTCCACAATTGTTCATAGGCACATGCAAAACAAGGTAGGGAAAGCTCAAATGGGTGGAGTGGCGGCGTGCCTTTCCTTCTGGAATCCTGCTTGAAAATTAGCCCACATTTGTTCAATGTTAGACTTTTGTTATTAAGTAGTTATTTTTTTTTTTTGTTTTTTTTTTAGATTCCCAGCACCATATGCATATCAAACAATTGATATTGGCTAGAGGATTGTGAAATATCATACTGTGTATTTTGTGTGTTATTTAGCCTGACCTATAACATGCACCTGCTGAACTATGTTTAAGAAATGTATGCAGTTTGCAGTCTATCTTTCTTTCCTCCAGTACTCTGATACATTGAATGTAAGAATTAAATGGGATGTATTCAGCATGCTAACTAGTGCCAGCAGCATTTCACTTACTCACAGTTTTAGATGTTACATGTTGAGCATATGCTGGTGAAGATGAAGAGCACATAAAAAATATTTGGTATTAGAAAAAAGGAATTAGCAGAAAACAATAATCAAACCAAGCCTCCATGTACTCTGTTTAGCTCCATCTGCAGTCCCAACAGTCCATCTAATGGCAGCCACAGCAAGCACCATGAGTCTGTCCTGGCTTCCTCCAGAAAAACCCAATGGAATCATTCTGGATTATGAGATTAAGTATCATGAAAAGGTGAGCAATAATTTTACTAAATGTCTCTAATTCAGTGCAAAATCATTGATTAGGGAGGCATCTTTTTCATCTGTTTCTGTAAATGTGGAAGACAAAGTCTCTCTTCATAGGCAAAACATTGCTGAGAGGCCAGTCACTTATTTTTTTCCTATTAGAATAATCTAACCTCTTTCATCTCCTTTTCCCATTTTTTCATAATTATTTCGTCTCACTATGTTCTGAACATGTTCTTAACCTTTTTAGCCCTCATTTCTTTGTAATTTTGCACTACAATGTTCAGTATTTTTTGGAGCAAAGAAATAACAATGCTTGTTCAAGCCTTGTTCCTAGTGAGGTGAAACCACCTACATATGTTTTGCCTATTCATCACCCTTTACACCCATTTTTTTTTACCTGTTACCAGCATACTTAAATCATGGCATATCAGTTTTCTTTAATTGTAAATACTTTCATGAATTATGGGGATAGCTAATCAAAATGTTTTCAGGTCTTACAGATATTAAATTACTGTATGCTCCTAAAATGTTTAGATTAAACCATTTTTATGTGTATTTGCTTCCGATGTTTACTTAAGTCAATTTACTTTTGAGAAGTATTCTATGGAGTTTTTATTAATAACATTTTATAACCTCATTTCCATACAGTACACTATTAATATATATAGTTTTTTTGTGTATTTGCTTACACGAAAGATTTACAGTCTCAAGTCTTGAGAATAGAAGAAAGTAATGAAACATTAAATGCTTCATGCATTTTTCTTCTTTCATCATCTTTTTTGATACAGGATCAAGGTGAGGCTATTGCCCACACCATGACCGCCCAAAGGAGCAACGCCCGGATTGAAGGTCTTAAAGCTGGTACACCATATGTGGTTCAAGTCCGAGCCAGAACAGTGGCAGGTTATGGGCGTTACAGCAGTGCAGCAGACTTCAGCACCAATCTGCAAAGTATGTAAATTTATGGAATGAGGAGACGTATTTAGTTTAAAGAATTGGAATAGGAATAAGATTGATGTTATAATTGTGCACACAGTGGCTTTTCAAAAGCATATTTATCTGTTTTTTTAAAAAGAAATCTCAAATTCTTGTACAGAATGGGATTAATAAATTTGAGATCTAGCCTTTTTAGTAGTGCTTGACATTTTTCTGATCATTCAGCTAAAAAAAAAAAAAAGATTGTGACTAAATTTTGTTAACTTTACATGTAAGCTTCATATTTATCTTGATCTGCCTAACAAAGTTCTCTATACTGTGCCTATAGCTGACCCACCAAAGTCATGGCAGGAGCAGCTGCCACTCATCGTTGGATCCATCACAGCAGCCTTAGTCTTCATCATTGCAGTTGTGGTCCTCGGGATTGTCTGCCTCAGGTACAGTTATAGCATGACAGTAAGATCTGCAGGATATAAATAAACACTGGGCCAAAACACTTCTTGAAATGTGAAGTAGTATTTGTGCATTTATTTTTAACACAAAAAAAATCTTCAAATGTCAACTTTGTTTGCATGTCCTCCAAACAACCGCAGAGCGGTCTCAGTGGATTGCTTGGCCACCTGTGAAGCCGCTGAATGCCAGATTAGCCTTCTGTATCTCTGAATAGTAAACAGCTTTGTCCAAAATGCTGCTGTTCTCAGTGGATGCTGCATGTGATAGCAACTGTTAATCCTTCAAGGACTGCACTTGTAGCTGAGCATTCAAAATCAACTGTGAGAAAGCCTGCCCATAAGAATCCCCCTGTCAATTTAGCTGAACTGACTGCTAAAATGTTCACACCTTTCAGTAATTTTGGTTTTGCATCAGCATGATCTAAGCGCACTGATTTAACCACATAAAAGCCATTTTTTTCAAGAAGCAAATGCAACACTGAATGAATGAATGCATACAGGAGAACGAGTGGCACCCATTGCTGACTGGCCCCCACCGAGCTCACTCCAGAAGCCAGTTGAGGCAGCGGCTGACAAGCGTGGGCATTGGTCATGCTAGACTGAATAATAATCTCACTGATCCCACCCTCCCTTCTCTGTTTCGTTTTGCCTTAGCTCTCTTCTATTTTAACGCTGCTACATTGTGTCTCTCTCAGGGTCTTTGCTTAGCCACAGCTCTGACTGGCCCTGAAGAAGAAGGAGAAAACAGCAATAATACAGAACACGTAGCGCTTGCATATAATAGAATGAAATTAGAAATTAAAATGAGATGCAAATCACCATTGGGGATTTTTTTGCCCCGATTACTGGTTAGACAACAAAGGAAGCACATTAACATGTAATTTCAACAACCCATTTCCCTATCTGTAGCCACCCCCTCTTGCAATCCAAATGGGAACTATGCTAGAAGATGAGGTTAGACAAACTGAAAACCATATGTGTGAGAAAAATAACAGACAAATAAAAAAGAATAACTTTAGGAGTCTGGGTTCATGTAGAAACAAGATTAATAAAGTCTTGTAGGGAGGAACAATGTTATATCCTGTAGGGTGAGTAAGCTAAAACAGCTCATCTTACTGTTTCCATTTTCTTAGTCTAAGCTTCTCATTTTGGTGTGAATCATATAACAGCTCCTATTAGCTTTTCCATTGTAATTTCCCTTTGTTTAGACTTGCATTACAGTGGCCACTTATTTTCAATTTTCCTGCTACTTCTTTCCGAGTGAATTCTTTGCTCTTTGATAAAGCTTAAAAATGTAACCAAGCCATGCAATAGTATGACTACATCTGATACTAAGACCAGGCATTAGTTGGAATTTGTTATCTCTTGTTGCCTTTGTTAGTTTGCAGTACTTGAATTCCATTAGGCTCATGTGACTCAGTTTGTGTTTTCATCTTTCTCTACAGAAAACAAAGAAATGGTTCAGAGTCAGAATATACAGAGAAACTCCAGCAGTATAGTAAGTATCTTTGCTAATTTACTCCTTCGTCTTGTATACCCTGCATTTCATTAACTGGTCCAGTTAACAAACCACTTAGTTGCTTAGATCAAAGTATTTAATGGTTTAGAACAGTCATAAAATAATTTGGCTAAATTAGATACATATTGCTGAAATTTTCCTTGACTGCATCGATTCACTTTCTCATTCTTGCCACAGAATCCCCAATAGTAACGCCGGGAATGAAGGTCTACATTGACCCTTTCACCTATGAGGATCCCAATGAAGCAGTGCGCGAGTTTGCCAAGGAGATTGACGTGTCCTGCGTGAAGATCGAGGAGGTCATTGGCGCAGGTAACCCACCAAAGCTCCTGAGCTACAGGGGGAAGACTGCTAGTCACCTCCAGGCCATACCATTAGAGGACTTCACACCAAGCGGTACTTTCACTCAATTCATCATTAGTCCTCTTCTTCCTCTCACCCCTGCCAGATGTCACCTTTTAGGACCCCTTTCCCAGACCTAGTAATATCTATAGCACCCATCCCAATTATATTTAAAATAATGACTTATAATGTCTCGCTTACATTAGAACGAATCACGGTTATTGCACTTATACATACCATGCAAATGTAGAACGATTTTTTTATACCCATTGTAAAACGCTAATCTTTTTACCATTCTCCTGATACTGACTCCAATCCTGGAACAAGAGCAATAATAAGATAAAAGGATGTAAATCCACTGGAGCCATATTTTGGATGATGTCAAGATCAGAGCCCAATGCAAACAAAAGAAGAATTTTGTCCTTTCGATACACCTGTGTAAATAGGTCTTGCTTCAATTTTACAATACATGTTTTGAATATGAGATATTCGGTGTATCAGTGTGAAATATACTCCATGGAGCATGTTTAATTAAGATAGAAAAAATAATTTGTTCCTAAAAAGGACTTCATCTCTGAAAATGGCAAAAAATCCATTATCTCATGTCCAGGATTGTATTCAACCCTACCCACTCTTTTATAATCTTAAGAGCCTCTTGATTTAAAAAAAGAGGTTTCCACTGTATCACTGTTTGACCCTAGTTTCCTCTACTTCCACCTTTTCCATCATGTGGTTGTCCTTCCCTTAATTAAAAAAACCCCACCCTCTACCTTATGTTGTAGACAGTGAACTATTTTATGAACTTGACATATATAAAAGTAATATGTCTGCTTAAAAGCTGCAGGACTTACCATGTGAGGTTGATATATTCTTTTTAACTTATGTATCTGAACAATTATGGAGGACGTTTTGATGGCAGAGATGGGAATCCCCTACTACTGCTTCTACTACTACCAATACTACTGCTGCTACTACTACTACTACGACAGTTCTTCTACTGCTGAGGCTACTACTTGAAACCCGTCGCTTTCCAGCATTCACCTTTAAAGTGACAAACCCTCAACCCCTGTCTTCCCTTTCCCCCTTGCTCTCCTTTATCCCGTCTTTAATCCACCCCTCTGTCCCTCAATTCCCCTTCCTATCCTCTCCCCATTTTCCCCCTCTTTGCCATCTTTACATCCATTGACACATGTCGCTCTCATCTTGCTTTTCTTGCACACGCTTGGTGTAGAATCTAAACATAAATCATCCACAACCCCAAAACCCCCAAAGCTTTTGTCTCCACCCATCTCTCTGTCAGGCTCTCGTCTGTCCAGCCCCACTGAAGTTTAGCACCTCCTTCCTCATCCAAACTCCCTCCGCTCCACGACTTTACTTATCCTACAAACTTATTCCACATTGTTTCATTTTATTTTCAGTTTTATTTCATAATTTTTTTTTGTTTGTTTTGCAACTTTCCACTCCTGAGCATCACGATTCTCCCTTACCATGCTTCTGTTAGTGTTTAGCCTAACAGTATGATGTTATTATACCATGCCTGTTTCAACACCAACCCTCAAAGACTAGCCTTAAGTCATGGCTTCTCTTACAGTTGCCCCTGCCTCAACCTTCCTCCCTCCCTTCCCAGGCTCCTTGGTTCTAACCAGTTAACTGTTCCCTCTCCCCTCTTTTCCCCCACTCTCCTTCACTCTTCCATCATGCCTCTCTTGCATCTCTCCTCTTCCTCTTTTGCTGTTTTTCTGGCTGTCTCACCTGGGTTCCCACAGGAGAGTTTGGGGAGGTCTGCAGAGGTCGACTGAAGCTGCCTGGGCGCCGGGAAATAATTGTAGCCATCAAGACTTTAAAGGTGGGCTATACTGACCGCCAGAGGCGAGACTTCCTGTCTGAAGCATCTATCATGGGTCAGTTTGACCATCCCAACATTATTCGTCTGGAAGGAGTGGTTACCAAGAGTCGACCAGTGATGATTGTGACCGAATTCATGGAAAATGGTGCACTGGACTCTTTTCTAAGGGTAAGACAAAACAACAAACACATTTCTTAAAACCATATTGTAATAAAACAATTAGTTGCTCGTCATGTACAAAATACATGATCACTGGGTTTTGATCATTGGGTTTCCGCTGTTTTGAGATCCACAGAGAATTCATCTGATTGCCACATTCAGGAGGATTATGCCTTAATTTTAATTATCCTAATTATCCTAGACAAAAATATCCAGAAATATCAGCATTCTTTGAGATATTAATGGAGTTTACTAATGCATGAACAGGTCACATAGACAAATTAACTCTTCAAAATTAACATCATCATAAAGTTTTTTTCACTGTTATTAAAATATATACAAAAAATAAACAATATACATCAATTAAGAGCAAGAAGCAATATATCTGGTGTTATTAACATATAAAAAATAAACCACTTTGAATTGTTACAGAAATAAGATGTAGTTTTTTATCCCTGCTGTAAACAAAGTGTTTCAGACAAACAGATGTATTTTCTCCAATTAAGCATTTTTTATTAATGATATAATATCGGAACTTAGCTGTGGTTTCACTGTATTGTTTAGAGCAAACTAACTGTATATAAAGTATAGATTTTATCCTAATGAACACTGCATAGCATTTTATTTCATGAAGTAGTTGCTAAAAATTTGAAGTTACACAGAGCATAATAAAGAAATGCTTACTTCCACGTTTTTGTATAGTTTTATTAAAATCTTTTCTACTTTTAAATTTAATAAAGATAAAAAAAGTGTTCGAGTCAGAATTTCTTTCTTTCATATCTAATTGTGAATTGAAATGTTTACTTCTGTTTTTGGAACTTCAGCCTCTTTGACTCTTGTAGAATGTAACCCAAGTGCCTACCAGTCATTTTGTCTCAAAAATTAGAATCTTTGGGTGTATTTGTTACCAAAACATCCTTGAATCAAGAACATGCAGATGATTTTTTTTAAATGCACTGTGTTTTGAGCCTTGAAAAGTAAGCTCAAGATCAGCTGGTGTCCACGGCTGTTAATTAAAAAATGTACTTAAAACAGTTATGTGAAAAATCTTCTTATCATCTTTAGTGTTTTTGTTGACCTTTACAAGCTGCTCCGTTTCTAATTAATTTCTTAAGACTCAGTATCCACTGATTCTGTACCTCAGTCACATCACAAAATATCTGATAGATAAACTTGACTTATAGAAAAGGAAGAGGGACAGAGGGAGACAGGCTAAAATGACTTGTAACAGCAAAAAAAGATAAATGAGAAGAACATTCAATACATTCTTGTGCCATTGTTTCTCCCTTCCCCAGCTCAATGATGGGCAGTTCACAGTGATCCAACTTGTTGGCATGTTGCGCGGTATCGCAGCTGGAATGAAATACCTGTCAGACATGAACTACGTTCACAGAGACCTGGCTGCACGAAACATCCTCGTAAACAGCAATCTGGTCTGCAAGGTATCAGATTTTGGGCTGTCTCGATTCCTTGAAGACGACCCCACAGATCCCACCTACACCAGCTCCCTGGTGAGTCAGTGTACAGTGTTTTAACATGGTTAATACAGATCTTGAAATCCATGGTTAAAGTTGTTTACATGTAACAATTCTAACATAATAATTTAATTTAAGAGTTGATTTACTGTTGTTTTGAATTCATTACCTACGTCACATGAAAACATATTGCAAACTCATTACTCCACTGTTTTGTCTGTTCTTAGCAGTGCAATGCGCCTAAACAAGAGAGAAAAAAGCTGTTGATTTCTAGGAAATGTTTAAGTTTAAATTACATTAATTTTATAAACATTTTCAATGTCCTACAGCCATACTTTAACTATCTTGATTTTAATTCTTGTTCTGCTGTAAGGCATAAAACGATTCCACTTGGAATCAGTCTGATTAAAAACATTTCTTTGAGAATATACATCCTGTTTAGTAAAACAAACGACAGGCAAAGAAAAGAACAGAAAAGATAAAAGCTCCTAGAGAGATCTGGAAGAAAAATGTCTTCTGTTAGCAGTAAGCAACATTATTAAATTTTAAATATTTTCTTTATTCTGAGGAACACTTCATGTCAGACCTCAAACATCACACTAAGAACTCAGTTTGTCATATGTTGAGCTGAAAAGACTTTAAAATGGTAGAGGGAAAAATAAGTTTTGTGGCACAATAAATCTTCCTACAGCTTCATGCGTTTGTTCTCATTTTTGTCTAAATGTTGACTAACCTTGTGTGTTTCGGGTGTTTGAGTTCTGCAGCATCCACCCATGTGTTGTGCATTAACACTTCCCTTCGGAGTTTTGTTTCTCACCCTTTCTCTTTCCCTCTTGTGTGTGTGATTCTGCCTCTGTCTGTGTTCCATCCCTCCAGTATTTCATGCTTACATACTCATTCGCATATCCACAGGGAGGAAAAATCCCTATCCGCTGGACAGCGCCTGAAGCTATTGCATACCGGAAGTTCACTTCAGCGAGTGATGTGTGGAGCTATGGTATAGTCATGTGGGAAGTTATGTCGTATGGAGAGAGACCATATTGGGACATGAGCAATCAAGACGTAAGTAAAAACTGATGGTTTTTTATTTTCTCAATTCATACAAAAAGCCCTACATCATTTTTTCGAAGCCAAATTGTAACAGATAGTGAGAAGTAAATTTAAAATATCAAGTAGATGTTTTTACAGAGTAGAAGTAATTCTAAAGTTTTAGAGTTGCCCAGTCAGAGACCCAACTTCCATCTGATAGGAAATCTGTTGAGGGAGCTAAAGATTAGGGTGATGGTAATAAGGCTTCTCAACTTGAAGACCTGAAGCTTATTGTAAAAGATTCATTTTCAGACATTTTGGATTGCTGTATGATCAATCTATTTTTTTATGATAATAATATAAAGTGACAAGACCTTTTGAATTTAAAAAAGAGCCTTAGGAAGAGCCTTTTACTTTTACGTTTTTTTATTATAAAGAAACTCTCTCAGGTTGTGCATTGTTTTACTAAATTCTTTGGAACATTGTTAAACTCAATGCAGTGGCGGCTGGTGGAGTTTTCTCCAGGGAGGGCTATAAAGTCAAAATAGATGTATACCAAAAACCAATCAATTGTATACTAAGGTATCACACCAGTATATGTGCATGAATGCCAACAACAAAAAGCAACATTATAACATTTTCTGAAAAGTGCTCTAAATCAGTTATACCTGTCTTAATCCACGCTGTCAGATTGTGATATTTGAAAGAGGAGGCAGGGAAACTGGAATGAAGCGTTAGCCTTGCTGCATGCAGTTAGCCAAGCCTTGTTGCTAAATAATTATATACAGTCATCCTGTCAATCAGCTGTGCTTTATAACGGACAACTGTGACATCAGCGCTGTGACGTGGGGTGGTGTGCAAATAAAGTTGCTTTCAGCTCTGGGCGCAGCATAATTGCATCCCACAATGGCCCAATCTCTACAGCGCATGGACAACTTTTAACAAGAGTCTGTGGGTAAAGCTTTTTGCACCCCAGGGGTCACTAATCCAACGATGAATGAAACAGCTTTACTCGTCATTAAAGATTAAAGAAAATATTTATCTTTCACATCTAAAAAATATATAAATATGTTTCAAAAATTTTAATTTTAGAATTACATTTTTGTTTGTTTGTGTATGGTTTAATAAAGGTCATTGGGTGGATGGGGCGGCGCCCTTGCACTCTCTATTATTCAGCCGCCACTGATTAATTGGTATAATGAACCTTTTATTTATTAAATTAAAATAGGAAATTATCTAGAGCTGTTTTAAACAGAATTTCTTTTTGTTTACACTCATGTATACAAATTGACAAAATAAGTCTAAGTCTTTAAGTATAAGTCTTTTAAGACACCAGCTGTTAATATATATCACAGCATTCATTTCGAAAATATATTTCAGAATATTTTTTAATTTAACTGTTAAAAACTTAACTTACCTTCCTTTAAATGTCTCACTTGGATGATCGGAAATGGAAAACTAATATTTCTGTTGTCCTTCACAAGGTGATAAATGCTGTAGAGCAGGACTATCGACTACCCCCACCCATGGACTGTCCCACAGCTTTACACCAACTAATGCTCGACTGCTGGGTTAAAGAGAGGAACTTGCGACCTAAATTCACCCAGATTGTGGCCACGCTGGATAAACTTATTCGGAATGCAGCAAGCCTCAAAGTGGTCACCAACAGCACACAGTCTAGTGGGTAAGTCCTAAACAGGGCAATAGAAATGTCATACAAAGTGCTGTCGAAAAAGGGTTTTAGTCAATAATTACTATTTTCTGCATGTGATAAACCAGCTTTATGCTTGTGGGTCCACTGAGGTTTACAATTTTATTTATATTTCAAGACTAATAAAATATTTGATTTGCTAATTAGTTTATCTAATCATTGACATGTACGGTCCAAGCAAGCTGTTTTAATCTAAGCTCAAATGCTTTGTAGAGATCTTGATATAAACATTATTTACTTTAACTCAGACGTAGGAGTGTTCTAAGGCCACATGCAGTGTGTACGCAAATATTTATTGCCCACAAACAGAGAGGTAGACACTACAGTCAAACAAATTACTGGTACTCAATATTGCCTTTGAAGCAGTTCGGTCAATAACTGGGAGTTTAATCAATTTCTCTGCAGCTACATTTAGCTGATTTATCTATATTTGACACTTGTTTCTTGGAAATGGTTCAGTGCTCACAAGACTGCAGAGTTGGAAGATATAGTAAAGGGGTGACCTACCTTTCTGTTCCTGGATCAGGGTCTTTGTGTCCTGAGGGAGGGTCTCAGACAATCCTGGGCTGGGCTCTGAAGGGAGACGAGGGTCTCGGTTGGCCACTGGAGTGACAGTCTTTGAAGATTAAGCTTGTGGTTAATTAGCTCGATTAGGGCAATGCAAAAAAGAGATGCGAAGGCCTTCTAATTAGCCACTAACAAGATTTTAAACGGGCCATCAGATGGGTGGCTTCCTGCCGACAAACTCAACAGGGAGGGGTGGATGGCACAGCGAAACTGGTAGGCTACAGGTTTGCAATCACTGCTTTATCTACTTGACTTTGACAAATCATGTAAAATGTGATTATAAGTACATTAGCAAAAAGGCTTTGGTGCTAATGTTTTGTGTCAGTAAAAAAACCCATGTATGATGATGAACTTTAGAAAATAAGTTATTGCTTAGGGCATTAACATTTGAGTTCAATCAATAATTGTCTCATCAAGTATTTTTTTCAAGAAGAAGAGTAAGGCTGCAAGTCATGAGTATTTTACAAATCGATTAATCTGTCAATTGATTCATTATTGGATGCCAAAATGTTCAGTTAAGAAGGTTTTACACAGAATCAAACCAAGTGAAGCCAATACTGCACCCTTTGACTGCTTCTGGATAAAGCATATTAATGCACGAAAAAGTTTATCATCTTGAATACAAAATGTTTAAAAGTATTTTACAATTTGGGTATAAGAAATGCTTTGTACAGGTTGCTATTTCAACTAAAAGCAGATTTTGGAGTCTCTGAACTCAAGTTGTTGATTAGTCTATTACTAAAATAGTTGATGATTATTTCAAAAATTGATTAATCACGGTTAATCAAATTAATTGTTTCAGCCCTACAGAGGAGCAAAAATTATTTGCACAACCGTTATAACTATTACAGAGAAGCATCATGTTGTCTACAAAATGTATTGTTAATCATTTTTCTCATAGTGCACTGTGTAACAAAAGGTATAACAAGCTTAAATGCACTGTTTGTCAGGTTAACTGCTCTGCTAGATGATGCTGTTGGAAGTTACAGTTGCACTTCAAGGTGTCAAACAGAACTATACCAATGGGTGGCCAGCAGTAATGGCAGCCTGACGGAGTTCTGGAGCTGAGTTTACTTGAGGCTGACGTTGGTACAGTGTTTTCCAAAAACACAGGGGGCAGTACACTACATAACCAGTGGAAAAGTAGTAAAAAAGATAAGAGACAATTGATTTCACACACTCTAATTTGCTGAATTTGTATTAAAAGCATACATTTGGAATGAAATGTTGTTTTTAATGGCTGGAAATCCTTGGAAAATCTGTATCATCCCTCATACTGAGACCATACATATGTTAGTACTGGCAAAGCCGCTCCATGAGAGCATTTTTACATTTTTAGATCCTTAACGGATCATAGCTTGCATAGTCCTTTTAATGTAACAATTTGGAGGTGTAGTTCTACATCATGTGGTGCCCAAACAAAAAAAAGGCACGGGGGCTTTTGGGGTGTGGATTTTGAAACCACAACTTTTGGTTCAATGCCTAATTAAAACTCTAGTAACTCAACTTATCAAGCCCCCTAAACTTGTTAGAATTTTAAGCAGCAATTAAGCCCCTTGCAGAAACTGATACAGCTTCCATATTAGGATCATCACAGCTCCCTGTGAAATGAAGTAAGGCCTTCAGCAGCCTTATCAGCTAACACACAGGATTATCCATCATTCCTGGTGCACCACTGCCTTTGGCTTACATGTGGCCAGCAGTAATCTGGACCCAGCCTAAGCAAACTTTAGAGAAACAGGACTAACAATACTCAATTAAGAGAAGCCAGAGTCTGGTGTTAACGACAGCCTGAGGCCCTTGGGCTCCAAAGCACAGGCCTTATTAAAAATCACTCCATCTGCACCACTCAATGGAGCCTCTGTATCACTGTTATTACCCCAACCAACCCCACCCGTCCCCCACACACACTATGCCTTTCTCCCTCTTTCTCTCTCTTCATTCCTCTTTTAATTGTTAATGAATCTAATACCATCAAAAAGGATGACAGAGATCAGCAGAGCAGACAGGAGAAGAGACAGTAGGGCTCTTTCTTTGGTACTGCCCCCTCAACTGTTTCTATTCATTTACCTTCCTTCACCTCCCTGTCATCCTCTCCTCCTCAAATGTTGTTCATCCGCTCTAGTTCCCTATGAGTTGTGCAATTTTATTCAAGCTCCTGAGGAGGCCAATTCAGACCCTTTTTCCACTGTCAACAGGTGTGTAAAAAATGTCAAAAATATTATTTTTTTAAACTGATATTCACACCCGAGACATTAAAGAAATGTACCAATGAACTAAAGAAAATTAAAGAACATTAGAAATTCACAAACTACCTCTTCCAGAGTCCTTAGCATCATGAACCAAGGACTCATGGGACTAGGCTCATATATGTTTCAACAAACAAGAATGAAGAACTTTTGCATTTACATTTCAAAGCCATTTCTGTCTTTTGTAGAAATAACTTTCTGCCCATGTCTTGGGGGCCATGGTCCACCCATCCCTTAGCTGTGTTATCCCATACAAAAATACTATAAATCCAGCCATTGCGTGCCCAAGGCACAATGTTTATAAAATGCAAGCTGTGCTCATGTTAATACAGATGGTCTAGATTTGATTTCAAGTGACCAATAAAACCACATTAAATCCATTCTTTACAGATCCGATTTAAATGATGTTTGTGAAAAAGTTGAAAAGAATGACTGCATCAAACAACATAAACTGAATTTCAAAGGTGTTTTTTGCATTGCTAGCGCCAGTGACACACACTGACAGTTCATTGCAACAGAAAGAGTAGAACAAACTCAAGGAGGAAAAGATGTTTCCAGGGTTCATTGAGGGTTCTGGATATTTTACATGACTTACACAGGAATACCAATAAATCCATTAATTGCTACCATATGACCATGCCTCACCAGCTGCAGTGCCAACTTCCACCACCCAAGCCTCCAGTCAGTCTCTCCACAGCCATAAAAATCCCTAGCCTCATAGCACAAAAACTTTTTGCATTCTGTATGGAGCAGAGGGGAGAAGGAGGAGGAGAAAAGAGGAGATGCAGAGAAATGGAGAGGTGGCAATTGGGGGTTGGGGGGAGTTGGCCAGTAGAGGGAACAGAAAAGTGACCTTAACCCTCTATCTCTCTCTCTGTCTCTCTTCTGTCTCCTCCTTCTCTGCTCCTCCCTAATGTAGGGTATCCCAGCCTTTGCTTGATCGCAGTGTCCCAGACTATACCACTTTCACCACTGTGGGGGACTGGCTGGATGCCATCAAGATGAGCCGCTACCGTGACAACTTTGTCAACGCCGGATTTGCATCCTTTGACCTGGTGGCCCAGATGACTGCAGAGTGAGTGGAGCTAATCAGGGCTAAAGTAATTGACTGTCGAGTATGAGAGTCAAATTAAAGTTCTATGAATTGACCTTGAGGGACTAAAAATAACCTCGCAGATAAATTAAAAAAGGGTGTGGAAACTGTTGGTCTTCAGCTTAGCTGTAGAAATGACAAAGTCAAAACCTTAAGAATATGCACGTTAAAATAATTTTGTGTGCTTATTTCTTTTTCTTTTTACAAAAGATACAGATGTCATTTGAGACTTACAATACAGCAACATATTTTAAAAGTAAAAAAATTGAAAAAAATAATAACCCTGTTGACAATAGGCACAGTATAATTTTGGGTAAAGATAAAAATTTTTGAACGATAAACAGAAACGTTTAAATTTAAAGAGTGTAAAAGGGTCTGGTTATTTTAGTTGGAATGTCAGCTCTGGTAAGTGACCTACTTTGGCTAAATTATAAATTTGTCACCTATATCTCACTTACTGGAGCTTTATAACAGCAGTACCTGTATAACAATGATTAATATTGCTCCTTTAGGTTATGCATGATACCCCTCAGTGTCAATATCTGATATGGTGGGATGATATTCACTGCAAATAAAAGGAGTAAAACTGTGTGAATAGATGGTTATGATGGAACATTTTAGCTACAAACCACCACTGTTGAAAACAATGATGTCCTTAATTCTACTTACTGGTTAATGCCTGTTTTACAGTAAAATAAATTGCATCACTTGAATTTGTATAAAGAGCCTTGCATAGAAATACCTGTAAAACTCAGATGTAAGCCCTAAAAAAGTATTACCTATTTTTACATTAGCATTACAAAAGTGATGGATGACCCAGCATTTTTCATGTATACAAACAGGAAATGATGTCAAAGAAACCAAGTAAACAAGAGGCTGGTGATGATCAAATAAGTGAATTAGGAATATAATGATAAATAAATCGTTGTCATTAGCTGCATAATAGGCAGTGGAGGTGGGGGTAATTTGTTTCAATTTGGCTAGGCTGACAGGTGTGGCGTACTGTGGCTCTCTGTTGCCCTTAATGGCCAGTAATTCCTCTAATGGTTCCCATTTATTATCATTTCATCCGCTACTGCTGTTGTGGTGAAGGGGATGGCAAAATATGAAAGAAAAAAAATACACCATTTATTTATCCCATGAAGTTTTATTTAGAAGGATGTGAATACAGTGTTAATATGTATGCCTGTGAACTGTTAGTCCATAACTTCATACTGAGTCACACAGACATCTGCTCTCTTCTCACCTGTTGAAAAAATAAGCAAGCAGAAGCTAAACTGCCCATCAGTAATTGTGCAAACTCGAGAACACCAGTTCACTACTTTGCTAAATTATCTTTAAAAGTTTGAGTTAACACTGGCTTAGATCTGCTTGCATGTCCTAATGATTGGCAGATCGGACATAAGTAGTTTACCAGACAAAGAAAAATGCCATTCCAAACAGTCATGTGCTGGACCAATGTTAGAAAAAGAACCTAATGAAAAACTAAAAAAAAAAAAACTGTTTAAAACAAGAAAGAAATATTGAACAGCCACAGTGTTTTCCAGTTCATTTTACCACATCTTAAGTTAAATGATGGATTGAGGTGAACAATGTGAAGTGTGGCAGCTGTTAACCAGTAGTCACGTTTTTTCTTCAATCATTAACTTTATTAATGGTCTTTCGAGACACTTCCACTTGCCCACCTCCTGGGTAACAGTGGTATGTTTCATTTAGACTACCTTTCAGTCCAACTTTGTTTTGCTTTTGCTGGTTTTCAGTAGCCGTTTAATGGGTGACTGCGCAGGTGCCTGATTCCACCTGGGTCAGTGCATGAAGCCTTGTGATGGAAAATGAAACTTACTTTTTATCTTTGGCTGCTGGTGATATTTGTCCTATTTTTGTGACTGAGACACCTGTTTTCATTTTTCAATTGTTTCTCCACAGGGACCTCCTGCGGATAGGGGTGACGTTGGCTGGTCATCAGAAGAAAATACTTGGTAGCATTCAGGACATGAGACTACAGATGAATCAAACACTTCCTGTCCAGGTGTGAGCAGCAGGTCAAATAAGACGGATGCAGTCAAAGGACAGCCAGACAAGAAAAGGGGAGAAACTGTGCCAGAGAGGGCCACTGGAAAACCCTAGCTGCCTGACCCATCTTTGCCAACTGGACACTATGAAACTGGCTTGCAGTGCCTAAGAGTATATTTTTTTTCTTTATTTCAATACCACTTACATTTCCTGTCCCGACTCTTTTGTTGTTTGCATTGTTTCTTTCATCCATCCAAATTGAATGAAAATGTTCTTGAACAAAGCCGAATTTCCCCTACTTCCCATGTGTGCCTCACCAACTCTTGAATGGGTTGATGTTTGCATGCATGTTTTTTTGTCAACTTGGCCTTATTAGTGCTCTGATCCTCATGCAAGACCCTGTTTTCTTAACTTTCTGAGTGTAAAAGACATGGCAAAGGATAAACCTTGATAGAAGTAGATGAAGTGATAAAGACATATCTCTGCCAGACCACAGAAGGCAGAGGACCACTATCTCCCCAAGAGAAGCTGTTTTACTGTGCATGTGTATTATTCTTCATCTTCATATTGAAGGTGTGTTACCTAAAAGAGCAGTTACTTGGAGAGGCATGGAGTGGTGAAGGAAAAATGTTTAAACGTGCTGCAGTCAAAGGTTAAGAGGATGACAGACGTCAAAGGAAAGGAGCCACGTTTTTTGGACACCTGCTTCGACTGTTGGGTCACGAGGCGACCTCTTCACTACAACCTAAAGTGACTTAGGATTGTTCCTTTTTGTGGGAACACCTACTAATCAGCTGTTTTTTATTCACATGAAATCATGTCCACGCAACAACATTTTCTGTTTAGTTTTTTTTCCCTTTGTTCCATCTTTTCTCACACATTTCTAGGAAATTGTGGCCAGTCCAGTCAGTACCCTATCCACTGAACACTTTATGTGACAATTTTAAAACAAGGACTGGGCCAACACTGTTTGAAAGACCTCCTGGCCTTGTGTGTGCATTTTTTTTTTCCAATGTGAGTGTCTACTTGTGTGTGTGTATGCACATGAGTGTGTGTATGTTTGTTTGACTGATGAGTGTTTGGACATACGAGAGTGCGCCAGGTTGCACATGTAAAATACAGCTTCCGTAATTTGACATCATGGAGAATTAACGCATGAACTGATCTGTAATAAGCATAAACTATATCTGAAATAATTATGCTTTATTCTGTGGACAGCTGTAAAACATTCACCTTTCTTTATTGGATCCCCAAAATGGACTTTGATCCCATGCACATGTACACAAATACACACACACACAATCATGACTGACAATTTTTTTTCTGCTTACTAATATCTGGATTTAGAAATAATCAAAAAAGATCTTATCTATGCTTCTTGTCATCCTTCCCTGTGTATTTATTTGTACCTCACCCACCAACCCATGCTCTCATTATCATAAAAATGGACTAGCTTGTTTTGGCAAAGTGAAACAATCAGAGAGAAGAGGGAACTCCAAGAGACGTCACCTGATGAAATTATTAATAAAAGTAATTGCATATATATTGGATTTTGTATTTTGTTGTTGTTCTAAACAGCCTGTACAGGTTTTGTAACAAAAGTGAGATAAATGACTAAATTGTGTAAAGCGTTTGTCTCAGAGTGAATTCATCAGCAAATTATAGTTGTCAAGAGAGAGAAAGAAAGAAACTCCGCTCATGTTCAGTTGCTGGTAATAGTGTGCTGTTTTTGTTCTGCATACATGGTTATCTCAGTGTTGACTGTGAAGGTGTGTATGAGTTTTTAGTGTGCCACATGAACCTGATATTCACCCTCCCCAGCCCCATTTTCATTCTCAACATAAAGAGTATTTGTGAAGCACTGGGCTGTTACTAATTGTCTTCCAGGCACATAATTTTCATCTATCGTGAACCACTCAACTGTTGTCCAACCCATTTTACACAAGCCTGTCAAGAGGTTTGTAAGGGAATAGGCCAAGGGATAGTGTTGCATCAAATTAGTCACCTCACCTTTGTATTGTTTTGGTAAGCCTAGGAGCAAGAGCTCTATTGCAGGTTCCACTGCATTCAACAGGATCCTCATTAGAGAATCCTTAGCTGTCTTTCAGGAGAAATCTATTTTTCTTTTTCTGTCAGCTCGATTAATGCAGCAGCCAATCAGGCATTGCAAGGATATGGATGTGCAGCACACAGGCATTTGCAGACACAGGGCATACAGGCTTACCATTATCTCTCATTCATTTCCTGTCTGGCCTTCAATCACCCAGTCTCAAGCTCCGGGTGTTGCATGATTAGCACAAAGCAGAATCAACAGTAAGGGGAATACAGGCTAGCCGAAATCTGGATCCAGATTCCTCTTAACTGATAGCAGCTGCATCTTTGAGGCCACTCTATTTGTGCTTCTCACAACGAGGGTGTCTGGTGCCATTGGATTAGGGAGTGGGGCGGTATCGTTGCTGTGATCTTCAAGATAGCCATCATATTGTTTGGATTAAAGTTGATCAATTCAGCATGTTAACACAAGTCCTTGTAGTATTGCAATATTTTTGGCAGTACAGCGGGTCTTTCCACTTCTTTAGAGAACAATTATATACAAAACACATTTACATTTTATAGTGATCAATTTTCTCTCGTGCAGATAATTTTGTTAATAATCATTAATAATAGTAATGTTCTTAATCATTTTTTTTTATGTAGTTAAACTGTAAGGAGCTTCCTAACTTTTTAGCTTTTAATTTGTCATCATCAAAAATGATAAATTTAGATGAATCATAATGTTAATAAATAAATATAGTGAACTGATAATGATTTCAAAATGGCTTTAACCAGGGATATTTTAAATAATTTTTTATTAATAAGTTCTTTACCAGGACTCAGATTATTGTAAAAGATGCAATAGCTTCGATATTAGTAAAGTGACTGCAGTCAGAATCAAAGGATTGCCATGAATTACTTAGTGTCCATTCCCTTTTTTTTTCTCCAGCCGTATCAATCTATTAGTCCCTTTAGCTCCTCTGCTGCTATAATTTGCATGTGACTTTAAATCAGGTGTTATTGATGTGCACTGAAATACAGGAACGTGACCAGGATAAAGGGGCTAAACACAATCAGATTGCAAACATGCATGCTCAAGCAGCAACTTTTTGATGAGTTGCACATGGTGAATTGAGATCTGGAGCTATGTTCAGCAGAGTCAAACTGGCCATGATTGATGGGCTTAATAGAAACATTTTCACACATTTAAAAGATTTACCCATGTAAACTGCTCACTAACACTCAATTCATAGGATTCTTTTATATACTCTGCACAGAAAGGAACCGCATTTCCTGTTTTTTTCTGTTCATCCATCAAGACTCATTTCATTGAAATTAGGATAAACTGTTACATTTGTATGTATGAGTGAATGGAATAAAACAAATGCATTTTATAAAAAGCTGTTTAATAGTCGCCAGAGACTTAGTTATGTTATCAAAAGTGCAAATAGGAGTCTAATTATACAAACATCGCTCATCTATTTCTTTCTCTGTTCAACATTTAACAGATTATCACAGACTACACTCCCTACTGAGATTAACACTACCCCCTCTACGCATTAAGCACACTCTAGCTTTGTTTTCAAACATGTCTATTTCAAATAATATACAGTGGATTTCTTTTTTGTCCTCTAACATGTCCACAGACTTGCTTTTTTTGTCAACTTTGTCACTTTTTAGTTTTTCCTAACAAAAGACAACACTTTTCAGAGAGTACTGTACATGATAAGTAAAACAAGATCGGCGGGGCTGGAAGAATGAAATGCAATTGTTACTTCCTCTTTGAAAAGCATTGAGATGTATTTAATGGTGCACATACACACAACAAACTACTAAAGAAGATGCATTCTTGTAGAAATATTTTTAAGATACCCTTTTTTGTAATTAAATTATTTAAGAAATGTGACCCTATCTCCCATCTGCTTCTTTGTGTGCTGTGTCTTTGGATCGATAATTCCACCACATGGAAAGTGTTCTCTTTTCTTTACATATCGTGCCAGTTTAAAAATCACACTCAAGCTTCTCAGTCAAGTAATTTCCCAAGGCAAACACATTCAAATTTATCACATATGTTTTCACTCTCCTTTTATAATTACCAGAAATAGTCATGCAATACTTATTGAAAATTAATTTATTGTTGAATATAGCCAGCCTCCAACTTAAGAAATGTTTTAGGTATGCATAAAGTGCCCAAAAGTAACTCTGCAGCTTAGTTTTCATCAAATTCTTTGATGTTTTTTCTCCAGAAGAGTTTAAACTGCATTGGGAGAAAGACTGAGGTCATTCAGAGTAACAATAATTTTCAAAATGTACTTTCCACACGCTGTCTTCACTTACTAACACCAAAGGGTTAAAAGTGATTTTTGGAGAAGTTATCCAAGGTTCATTTCTTGCCTATTTGAAAATCAGAAATTCCCGAATGATCATATATAATCGCTTATATATTAAAGAAGTGAATTAGGCTGTACAGCTTTCACTTTTACAAACCTATGCTAAGCTTTATTTCATGCATTATACCTTATATGTAACGAGTGAAGTGGATACTGATCCACCGATGTATATTAAAGAATACAATTACACATAACCCTAGCGGAGTTAAATGTAACATTATATTCATTATACAAAATAAACTGATTTCTAAATGGAACTGAAACCAGTCTCTCACTAGGGATAATCCATAAAATTTTTTTGAGGTGACCAATAGACAACTAGAGATAAACAACAGCACCCCTCGCGACCCCGCTTGGGAAAAGCATGACAGAAGATGGATGGATATTCAAAGTTCTAAATTATTTATAAATAATCATTAATTGTAATACAAAGAGGTCATTGTACGTACAGGGGTCCTAAGTCTGGTTCACACAAGAAACTAATGAAACATCGGATCTACTTGGTACAATAATCAGGGAACTCTAACATGTTGGATTGTATGTTCCCCACAGCTTTTGGTGAGTGCTGTCCATTGCAAAGTAAAGCGAATTGTTAGTGATTGATTATGATCTTTTGCAGCTCGACACTCTGCATCGAAAAATCAGAGAAGGTGATTAGGAACCTGGCTGAGAGATGCTGAATTCAAGCCGCAGTCTCTTTTCCTCCGTAAAACATTAATAAATTGAGCATGAATGTAAATAAATTTATTACATTCCACTAGGTTTGCATGAAAATCCTGGAGAATGACGTCCTTGATCAGACGGAACAGGCAGGAGATAAAAACACTGGTAATAATAAAAGCGGTATAATGTAGGTTAACACATGGCTCTCAAATGAGGAGCAGCCAGCTCCTCTTAGGCTCCAGCTGAAGAGCTTAATGACCCAGGTGTGCAAAAACACACAATCATCCCCACCCTCCTCCAGCTCAGTAATTAACCACCTCATAGAAACACAACACAACCCATTTCCCTGACGCTATCATGATTTGGGTTCTTTGGAGTTTTGAATTTTCTTTTGTGCATTAGTTTTCTCTCTGTTGTTTCTAATTGATCTGAAAATGTTGTTTTGCTTTAGTTTATATCTTAAGGTCATTATTTCTGGTGGGAGTTTTTTCCATTTTAGGTTTCAGTTCTTTTTTGAGAAAGTTAGTTTCTTGTTCTTGATGTAGCCTCTTATTAGTTTTGCTATTTGGGTTTAGCGATATGTGATCATTTTTCTGTGCTCATCAGGTATTTCTTTAAGCTTTCTTGGTCATTCTTGAGTCCTATCTCTCTAACTCCTCAAGAGCTTTTAACACGCACCATTTTTAACACGCCTGAATCAAATCAGTGGCTTGTTACCATGCCTCTGCTGAGCTAAATGAGGGGACTGAGACTTTAGAATCAGATGTTTTAGAGAACAGATGCATAGTTATATTATATCATGACACATTTTTTGGGATTTCCTGTATTTGTGGACCCATTTCAGAAAGCAGGATAAGTAAAAACTAATAATAAACTCTTGAATAAATACCAACATACCTTAAATTTTTGGTTTTAAAAGACCAGATAGTCAAGTTTATACAGTACCATAAGTTGCTTCACAGAACCAACTATGGAGTGTAGCAAGATTTGCTAACCTTATACTGAGTCTATTGCACATCTCATTTGCGACCTTACACAAGAAAAGCATCAGAAATGGTTTTATTGGAGGAGCCTTTTGAATAGCAATGGCTCATCATGGTCTATGTGATTATATTTTTAAAATCTGATTTATAGATTTTCTGAGCCTTACTGTTTTCACCAGAGTCATAAATTCATATAAATAAAATTTCAACCACACATCACTAACATTACACAATTAAGTTATTTCATTTAGGGATGTAGAGTGTGAGTGCTACTCTACAGCTCAGATGCCCATCAGATCAGATAAATCATCAGATCAGTCACATTTTTCAGTGATGTCAGCCTATTCCATAGGTGGGTAGACAAGTGTTGCTAACTGCAGCATGGGAAACTGTGAGGTGGGTAGTAAGTAGTTACAATTTCATGACTACTCTTACCTTAAACCTAACCAAACAAGTACATACTGTACTCAACCGTCCCACGCATACCACCACCCCTCACATTCAGAGTTTTGCAGTGCCTTCATGAAGCCCCTTCTTTAACCTTGCTGTGCCTGTATCATAAAGACCCACTTTTCTGGTCAGGGAGTGTCTTTATGCAGCTAATCTACACTGTGAAGCAACCACTCCTTTTTAGCTAATGTCTAAGTCTTGGAATTGTGTTGTTTTGTCCCTAAGAGGTCGAAGTCTTTTTTTAGCCTTCAGAAGTGCTTTTTATAAGGCATCGTCATGCAATGGGTGGCACCCAGATGAGAGATGTTGCTTTGCTTTTAAGACATATGTGTTTCTTTGGTGTGCGACAAAAACAACCGTGTTTCATAACAAAAAATGAATACCACATACTCCTAAAAGCATTTTATTGTATATTTGCATATAGGTCTCTTTCAAAGGTTATAAAATGATGTTTTAAGTATCATAATATAGTTATTGAATTCTGAACCTTATCCCAAGGTTGTGTTGGACACTCAAAGACGTGTGCAGAACATTACAGTCTGTTGCTGTATGACGGTGAGTGATTTATTACAAAGACTTATTGTTTGACGATGGAAAATGAATTAGTTTACCTTATTTTTACCAATCCAAGACAACTCAAGTTGCACTGCCCAGAATACTTCTGTGACCGCTTCCCTGTTTCTTAACTTGATAGAAAATATATTTTCAAAATATCTCTCCTTCTGTTTCAGAGAGTTACATAAGCTAATTTGTGGTGCCATAGTTGGCAGATAAAATTTTACCACTGTTTTAAAACCTTGTTTTAAAATATTATCTTTAGATGGGATAACTTGCAGATCCAGAGTTACTTTGTGGACATAGTTCTTTTCTTTCTAGTAATTCTTCTCTTGTAATCAATCTCTTTGTATATATATTGCGGCAATGCTTTGGCAGAGATAACTTAAAAATCCCATGTAAGAAAACAAAGCTATGCATGACTGCAACCATCCTGATTTAGACAGATAGACTGTATCATAGGGTTTACATTTATTTTGGCAAACTTGCAGACTGACTGTTCCTCCAGTGCTCAATATGTAGTAGGATATGTCAGTTTGAGGTAAATATGGACCAATGCCAGGATGAACTGGAGGACTGTATACTTTCCTCTAGCTATTGACATAGTGTCAAATTACTCTAAGCTAGAGAATATTGACTGTCTGCATGCCCATTTCATCAAAATATGTCATAGAGTAATAGAGAATTATTAAGAAGTCAATAAAGATTAATTTTGTATCCCCTCTTGATCTGTGAGATGGCATTTGCATTAATACTGTTGTGCATTCACATGCATTAACCACTTGTTAGTCAGGAGAAAGATCGATGAAAAGCCTGATCACACATTGTTTCTTACATCCTTTGCTGACTCCTAATTTCAAAGACAGGTTCCTTTCATTTCGTCTTAGTTCCAGTAGTGTGCTACCTCCCCCAACACATCCGTTTCCTGACTACTTTTTATCATTTCTCATCTCATCTAGCATAATCCCTCTCATTTATTTTGCCACGGAAGAACTAATTGGTCACATCTGTATGATGACATGGAGACCTGACATAATTGCTGGACAAATAGCAAGGCGTTGAGCATGAGACCTGTCTCAAGCAAGCCGTACACAGACACAACCCAACTGGAAAGCCTAATTACCACTTAGGCTCACATTTTACTGATTGGCAAAAACTGCAAAAATATGTGTGTATTTTGTGTGCATGTGTTCATCAGTGCCTTTCCGTTCTGGTTTTGAATTGAAGAATATATTAAATAAATAAAATACTTCAAAACAGGAGCACTAACACAAAAAATATATCAACACCTTAGAAAACAGTCCTGAGACATTAATTACAAGTGTTGCTGCTGTGTTATCTTGCTATCACTCTGTTAATTAGATTTGCTTGGTTATTTTAGCTTAGTTCAGACTTTGTTTCATGTGATATCTCCCACCAAATTGACTGTTCTTTTTAAAAAGCAATGCTGATTCCACTTTATGCTTTTAATCGCATAGATTGTTTTCACTCTCTCATATATCACAAACGTTTCAGTGTTAGATAAATAGATACCAACAGAGTATTATGGAAGCTGAAGAAAAAATAACAAAGTTTAAGTTTTCTAATAGAAACTGTAGACATTTAGTATATGTTTAGTCAGTACAGTAGTAAATAAAATAACTATTATGAGTTTTAACAGTAAGTACTCTTAGCAGCATGCTACAATCTGTCAAAGGTGCAAAAAATTTGTTCTATTTGTAACGAGGACAATCTTTTATTTTTGGATGGATCATCTAAAATGCGTGCTTGTCCCATTGGTTATCTTGTTTTGAGCATATATGTGTGGTGAGCTATAGTTTCAGACAGTAATTGAAGCACACTTTT